GATCAGCATGTTCACTCTGGGAGGTAACATGGGTTCCTTTTTTTATTGCTTCAAGATGGCCGAAGACTTCAGAGGTAGAAGAAACAAGTGTAACATTGTGGATGTAGAGGTTAAGGAGTTTGATTTAAGACGCTGTCATTCTTCAGCCAGCATGGACGGCAGCATGGGATGGATTTAGTATGCCACAAAGTTGCATGAATGTTTGGCTCCTCCTCGATTTGTGCAGCCGTCTCATCCTCTGTGCCAGACTATTGTGTTGTAAGGACCTCAAACAGCACAATAATTGTAAGGTAAAATTACTTCAAGTTGCATGTAATCAGCAAACAGAATGAACGATGGAGCTATGTTTACTGTCAGCCCTGCTCTGTGAAATCCATCAGTCTTGTTGTTTCCTTTTGGGTTGGCCCATCTTCAAGCCTCCTCTGTGAGATTCCAGTTTTTTTCCATGATTGTGATAAACAGAATCAACAGCCATGTTTATCCAAGATGTCTCTGTGACCGTGTGAAAATTGCAGATGTATTCAAAGCAGTTTAAATCAGTGTTTTTAGTTTAATACTTGATTTTATGACCGCTTGTATGGAAAAGGGTTCGTTCGCATCACCGAACTCCCCATGAATAGTCTCCCTCACTGTCTAAGTTCATTCTTTACAGTTTCTTACAGGCTATCATTTTGGGCCAATAAAGCAGAAAAAAATTCTGAAAAGCCACTGTGAGCTTTCTGCTTTTCAAATGATGGAGCTAAAAAGCCAGATATCCAGATACCATAAGCTGGACGCAAACAAGACTTGAAAAGGATCATAATGTTACTCTATGCTGCTTGATGTGCAAATCTTCGTATCTAGGCGATGATGTACCGGTGATGTGTCATATAGTGTTTATACTGCTCCAAGTGGACAAAATCAGCTATTGCAGGTGCAAGATGAATTCACTGTTAAACATTATGAGATTAGACAGTACATAGACTTAGGTAGGCATTTGTATAAATCATTTTCTGTTGCTCTCTCTTTTTAGGGCCAACCAGGACCACCTGGACCCCCAGGCCGCCCAGGGGAGAAGGTAAGGGGGTCTCTTATTGCTAATGTACTGCCAACACCAACTAACAGGGTGACTTAAAAACTAAGTAGATGTAAAATCATAATTGAGTGATTCTTTTCCTCTCTTCCAGGGCGAGCTTGGTTTACCTGGGCCAGCAGGAGTTGATGGGGAGAATGTACGATTAGAAAGCCTGATGAAATGTCCAATACTATTGCTTTATTTATGTGTAGTTCTTTTATTCCACTATACCTTTAAATGCAGAAAATAACCTCTCTTTTCAATTCTTTAACCCCAGGGACCTAAAGGGGACATGGGTGAGGCCGGACCACCTGGCGAGAGGGCAGAGAAGGGGGAGATGGGGCTCTCTGGGCCTGCTGTAAGTTGAGACAGTAAACAAGTTTCTCTGATATACAAACAGTAGAGAAGTGAATAAATAGCTGGGAGTTAACGCTTTTCTCTCTGTTGGTAAGGGTGTGGATGGACATAAAGGAGAGAAAGGCGACTGCAGAATGGAAGACAACCTGGTCAGTGTGATGCACAAACTTCATTCAACATTTGCTCATGTGAATCATTGCAGACAAAAACCTTAAAAGCCATGTCAGCAATTTCTTATGTTTGAGCCTTCATTGTAGATTTTTTAAACCCTTTTTTTTTTTTTTTTTGCATGTAACAGCCAGATTCCCACAGTTTTCCATTTGGTATGGGTGTGAGTTGCAAGCATTGGATGCATTAATTGTCTTAGTTTGGGTTTTGTATTGAGGCAATGCAGACATTAAAAATAAATCTGAATTTTAAATACATTAAACAGTGAAAATGTGAACGGTCTTTGTTCCAGTTATTTGGTTTTAAACTGTTTATTAAGGAATGATATATGATATAAAAAGTATCCAGAAAAAGCTTTCAGTCCCTGCTTGACTCTTGTTATTTCCATGATGCTCAGGTTCAGATGATTTCCCAGCCAGGCCCACCCGGCCCGCCCGGCCCACCTGGAGTACCTGGGTCCCCTGGATCCATGGTGAGTCCTTCTTTCACAATCGACATCCTGACAGAAACCTTTCAAATTAACTAAAATCTTTACAACTGCAGCTTTCACACTCATTGTGCACAATGTATTTCAGGGGCTACATGGGATGCCTGGTCCAAAGGTAAGACTGCAGTGCATTACAGAATGTGTTGGAGGTTATGACATGTTGTTTGGGTGCTCAGGGTTCATGTGTTCTTGTGCAGGGTGAGCCTGGATACGGGATGAGAGGAGACAAAGGAGAGACTGGCGCTCCTGGACCCAAAGTGAGTAACATGAACCCTTCATTATTGTTATAAAACATGTTAAATGTGCACAGTGATAATAATGTACTTTCACTTCAGGGATTAGACGGCCTAAAGGGCTCTTCCGGGTTAGTGGGTCTTCCAGGTGCAAAGGGAGAAAAGGTAAGCTCCTCATCTCCTCACTCACATGTTTACTACATCTTTGGAATAAAACAGACACCCTGATTTATGCGCATGGATTTGTGTTTGCAGGGCAGACCAGGGGAGCCTGGACTAGATGTGAGTTTATTAGCTCTTCATGTGGTTAAAATGATTTGGAATTTAGATTCATTTTCAAACCATATTCAGTGGTCAGCTTCTTTCTGACCAGCTTGTGATTTTATGTCCAGGGTTTCCCGGGTCTTATGGGGGATAAAGGTGACCGAGGAGAACGAGGGGACAAGGTTGGTGCTTAGCATAGTAAAAAAAAATGTAATTAATCCAATAAGATATCTTTAATCTGCTCTTTAAACAAAGCTCTCTTTAGACTTTCCAGTGGTTGTTATGCACACAGATGTTTGTTTTGTCTCGTCTCTATTCAGTAAGAACCATTTAATAATTGTTTGTGTGCCGTCCTCTTTGTGGTTAGGGTGACAGGGGAGGAGTGGGAAAAAGAGGTCTGAAGGGCCAGAAAGGAGAGCAGGGTCCTCCAGGACTAGACCAACCCTGTCCTGTGGTATGTCAGCCACAGCTACACACACACACACACACACACACACACACACACACACACACACACACACACACACATTTGAACACACACAGAGTAAAATACTAAGTAAGTTAGAACTGATTTTCTTCTTAACTTTCCTGTCACCTTTTGACCACCTGTTATTCCCCTGCTCTCTGCTCTCTGTCTTTTTCTCTGGTTTCCTCCCTTGTGCTGTGAATGTGTAACTGGTTGTTGCTACAGGGTTGTGATGAGACTAAAGGTCTGTCTGAGAAGGCAGGGCTTTCTTCCCCTCCACCTCCTCCTATTCCTCCTTCTGGCCGTGAGGCCCCCTGTCCTGTGGTAGAGTATTTCTTCCTCCTTCCTCTTCCTCTTTTATCACTATTTATGCATGTATGTATTACTTCACTCTCATACGACCGATGGCTACACAAATTGAAACACCATTAACAGGCAGAAACAATGGCCCTGGCGGTCTGACCTCTAACCTCTCTAATCTATGGTCTCAAAAAAAACACAGGTTTTATTTTCTTACCTTTTTGTGTAAGGATTTAAGTTTCTAGGCTTTATGTTAAGCTAAGCTAACTGAATGCTGGCTATAGACTTATTTTAAACTGTATCTGTTTGAGTTTTCTGTTCTACTGCAGATGTTGTCTTTGATATTGTGTCATTTGGATTGTAATAATAATAATAATAAATTAGATTTATATAGCGCTTTTCTAAATACTCAAAGACGCTTTGACAGGTAACAACAATTCTTTTAAATGTGTCTGATTTATAAGTCTGATTATAATTCAGTATGATTGTAGTGTTGATGTTGTCCGTGTATAGTTTCATTATGTTGCTCCTGCTGCTAAACAAATTCCCCCTTGTGGGACAATGAAGGGAATCTCATTCTGAATCAGAACAAATTAAAGGGTTAGTATCAATCTTATCATCTTAACAAATAAAACATTCTTAGAATGACCGTAATGATGTTAGGAGTCCCATAACAAAGAATCACATTAGAAGAGCATTACCTGGAAGGTTTTTTTTTTTAACCCTTCTTCCTTTTTTTCTGTTTGGTTTGGATTTTATTCTTCATTACCCTCTTCATTACATCTCTACCTTTGCTTTTTTTCATTTGCTGGTAGGGATTGCGCATCATTATTACATCTGTCACTAAAATCCAAGTCACCAGGATGAGGAGTTGTATGTTTGTTTGAGCATGCATCACATTGCATTTCCTTGTTATTAACTTTCTGCTGCTGTTCTCGGTCTGCAGGGACAGGATGGGCTGCCCATACCTGGCTGCTGGCACAAGGTGAGAAGTGTTCTTTCTTTTCTAAGCACAATCGTAACTAATGCAATAATTGTGAATATGAGACAGTCATGGAATCATGATTTTTTAAAATCTGAAATGAAAGAATTTACTGAACTCATGGCTTAGCGTTGAAGGAATTTTTCGACTTTGATATAAAACAGTGTCAATTTGTAGATATGTTACAGAGTGTGAGCTTGTAAATGTAAGGCGTGTGTATTTTAAGATAATGTGCTGATGTTTTACTTGATATGCTACTAAAAATGCATCTGTACTCTTCTTTGTTTTGCAGTGATGACTAACCAGCAGCATGGAATCTGTACATATTGATAGGGTATATATTGCAATTGAATACTACACCAACAACCAGCTCCCCTTTTTTCCCCCAATTTTCATAAAACTTTTTATATAATATATTGAGATTTTTTTTAACATGGACATTTTTGAGTCGACAGTATTACCAAAAAAAAATCATCTGAAGAGAGCCAGTGTTGTGGTGAAGGCAGCCAAGGTTTTGAGGAGAAACAAACTGAACTGGCAGTGGGACTCTTACTTTGAAGGACAGTCCAGATTACATTGTTGTAGTGCCTTGACTGTCTAGCTGCCTTACTAACAAAGCCTGACTCACTGCCTGATTGTAATCATAAACGCTGTTTGGATACGACAGTGTGTGCAGTCTCACAGGTGGATGGATGCTTTGGTGGATGGACAGATCTCTTGTTGCTGTTGAGAGGTGTGGGTCAGTGCTCTCTTCTCCTCTCTCTCTGTTTTCTAAAAAAAAGGAGGAAATGGCGAGGCAGAAGCTCAAACGGAAGCGTCTCTCTCAGCCCTGAAGGGATGCGTGGTTCTGATGGAGAAAGGACTTATTAAAAAAGCAGAGAGTACAGGGAGGCAGATTGGCCTTCTTGAAGCAGAGCGGGCTATGTTCTGCCCTGGTGTCATACTGAACACTCAGATCCTGTGGTATTGAAACTCTCCAGGAGGGGGCGACAGAGAACACTGCATTTCCACGTTAACCTGAGAAGAGGCGACACAACTGTGGCTAAGACAAGGTTATATGGGAGTCACTGACGTCACTGGCACATAAAGAAGGATTTACTGCACGGAACATGTAGTGGTGATCTCTTGTAAGGCTCTTTTGTTAAGTTTTTGACTAAGTAATGCATGATCATAACAAGGCACTGTGTTATTTAGCATCCAGACAGCTTGTATGACTTGTGGTCTGTCTTTGAAACTCTAAATGACATTTCATTTACAACAAGTATTCATTACCAGTCTTTCTATTTGAACAAGCCACTCAGAAAAGCCAGTAAGTCTACCTGTGTATGGCTCACATTTGTGGCAGTTGTGACTTGTACTGTTTGTTTCATTTTGATATTTTAGTAGCGACTTTTGTCCAGGTACATTTTGCATTCCTGTGCATAGCTTTGAAGGAACCATTTACAGTATTCATGATTGTTACAGTTGCCTTGACAAATAACTGCATATCAGTGTAGTTTCTTTATTCATTTTCAGTGTAACTGAAGCTTTTTGAATGATCTTTATTCTTTAATCACTGATGAAAATGTGTTTTATTGCTGTTTCCTGATTCTCTGGACAACAGTGTGACTTCTTGCTGCTGACGTAAATGTGTGTTTGTTTGATATTTTTGAATCGATAGTCATTTGGACTGAAGGACTAACAGGCTAAAGAATGAAATTTGAATCAATTGTCAACACAATTGTTGTTTTTTTTCATAGGTTAATAACTCATTTTATTCAGTGATTTAACTTTACACAATGGTTTGAACTGTCAGTTATGATGCATTTTGTGTTTGTGCTTTTTTATTATCGCATTTCAGTCATTTCGATCAGATAAATACTATAGGTCTGTTTCAGTCACTTATTTTTCTCAGATGGGATAATATCTTGGTGCTTAAATACTTTTAATACTTGTAATGTATCTGCTGTGGATCTACTTGCATAGTGATATGCAACATCAGACACATGTCCACAGATACAAGCGCGTCATTTTTTTTAAAGAACTACTAAATGAACAGATTTCTACTTTCAAACATTCAGCTTTATGTCTAGAACACAGTGATAAAAACAATACCCATAAATAAAAAATTGTGGTTATTTATGGACTTCTGTTTATTCTCCTTTGACATTTGTAGTCATTTTATACAAATACATTACAATTACCATTTCTATTACATTTAGAAATGAACTCGTTCAATATCACTTCAGGTTTATACAACACATGACTGACAAGAAATTGTTTGCAACATTTTAATTGTCTGCCTGCATATTATTAAACATGTAAAAATGTTTGTTTTTCTTCACCCTCAACATACACTCTTTGGAGCATTTGAAATTTCAAACAGGGTCAGTATTGTTGGAGGGATTTTTTTTTTTAAGTCGGACTTCAAGTCAGACACAATGCTCTAAATTTTCAGAGGAACACTATTGACGTGATTGAAATTGAAAAAAAATGTCAAGGGTTAATGTGTTGGAAGAATGACGGTGTGTTGGTTTGAATTATGAGGAACATTGGTAACTCTAAATTCCTCTTTTTAATTAAATATATCTTCTAGCTGACCTGTTAACTGGCTGACTTTAACCTGCAACAATCAGAGTAGCTCAAAAACTACAATGAGTTACGTATAAACTCTTAAAAACTTTATACTTTTTCAAATATCACAAAGTTGAATAACTGACATCACACAAAGAATTTCCATACCGAGTGAGATAAATATAATGTGAAATCTCACTAACTGTTTTATTAAAGTTTTTTTTTTTCCAAAAATTAAACTACATCACATCCCTCATTTTTGTGTTTATAGATATTCTTAAATTGCTCACTTTAAACACAAACTGTGTACCATTAAGCTACAAAAGAAGATCTTAGAAATGATATGAATGAAAATTATTTTTCTGTAGCCTAATAGACACTGTTTTACGCTTTATTTCACTGAGAGCTGATGGCTATCTGACACTTAACATTATTACATGTGGTTATTTCTTTTCCAGATTCCATCAGTTACAGTTTTAACAGCTAAATGGAGACCGTAAATGTCTCTTTGTCAAATTACAGTTTGTTATTTTGGCAAGTCATATATAACAGTATTAGCTTGGCTTACGAGAATGTTGTTTTTTCGGTTGTGTATTTGGTTGTAAAAGAATTAAGCTATTTTTCTAATTGTCTAAAAATGTATAACATGAAATCTGGTCATCTAAACATGTGGAATGAAATAAACTCCAGTTTTGTTGTTGTCCATTAAATCATAATCATGTAAAGTTATTCAGTTTCATTCTTTGACCACTTATAATACCTCTTATTGTATGTGCCTTAAACATACAAGTGTGTAATTCTTTGAGAAATATCTTATTTTTCAAATAAGTGGAATTAATTTGTTCAAAGAGAGAGAAAAGCAAATGAATTAAATGAATCAGACACATATCATAAACAGGTCTGGCCATGTAAGACCAATATACACATGTTCTTTGACAGACATGTAGAAAAAGCAGAGGCCAATACACAGTAAAGGAACGAACCATATAGAAGAAAATTGTTCTGTAATGTACAAGTTCAATGAGTTCACTTAATGATACATGTGAAAAAGCAGCTTTTCATTTAAAAGGTTAAAAGTAAGTATCGTGTATATTCTGTTCACTTGCTTAAATAACACTGCAGATCGGGTTTAATAAATTAATCCAAATGAGATGAGATGAGATGAGATTCAACTTTATTGTCATTACACATATACAAGTATAGAGTAACGAAATGAGGTTTGGCATCTCACCAGAAGTGCAAATAAGCAGAAAGTGCAAGAGTCTGTGCTATGTACAGTAATTACAAAATTTACAGATGTAGACTAAAAAAGTGAATTATTAGGTATATCTGGATGGCTGGATTAATGGGATGCTATAAATATCAGGGGTCAGCAGGGGGCGGAGAGAGAGAGGGAGAGAGAGAGAGACAGAGTTCAGAGTTCGGGGGGTAGAGTTCAGTAGAGAAGAATCAACAGCAATAGCCCTGCCAGGTTCAACATCTTAGCTTAGCATGTAGGTGTGTACTTTTGGGAAGTCCAAAAGCTATAAAATCCGCTGTCTAGCCACCATCGATATTGGTACCAAATGTTTTCCCAATCCTTCCAGTGCACCTTGTAAATTCTCACTAAAAGTCAAAACTATTATCCTGCCAGACAGAAAATCAGGGAATAATTGAAATCAATGGATATGTTTATGCTCAGGGGGCCACAGATGTTAAGTCTCTGCCACCTTCTGTTGCTGTGGGACTCTGACATACAACAAAATAGAAAAAGAAAAAGAAAAGCATTTCAACACCTTCACTCTGAACAATACAACAGCTGAAAGTTTCTTCACCTACAAGTGTTGATGGAGGTATCTTTGGTTAGGAAACCTGACTCCAAAGAGCAAAAAAAGGACCGATATAAGTCTGTTATCCTTTCAGCCAATGATGTATGTTCTAAATTATACTAATTTCAGCAAACAAATACAGAAAAAAATTCACAAATGGTTCTTATATAACCTCCACTCTCACAGCTACTGAGCTTATTGTTTTAAAGACAAAACAACAGGTTACATCATTGGTTGCAATGTGGATGGAAACACTTGAACAAAGACAGATGACATTGCTTGAATTATTTAAAGCAAACCTGAATATACATTTTAAAGTAAAGATATAGGCTCACTAGTTTTAAATTTGACAAAAAAATAAATCAACATTAAAGGTTAAATGTGTATCTTGTTTTTTGTAAATTAAGACCAACATTGGCTGTGTTGACCATCATTTGATTGTGATTTCTGTACATCCAGTTGCAAACATCTGAAAGTAAGTAATTATCAATCATTTAAATGAAATGCTTTTATGATTTACACATATACGTTCTCTGTCATAATGTAAGACATGGAAGAAAACCCCAATTTGAATATATAACTGCTCAATATAAACAACTGGGTCATTGTCAGCTGGTGTAAAAGAGCCAAGCTCAATATTTCAGTGTTACTTGTAGAGACTGCCTTTTGGTTAGAAAAGTACAAAAAGAAAGTCCTAATCCTTTACAGACTGAGATAAAAGGTATTTTATGTCATGAAAATAGCATGAAACGTGGATTCTTTCGTCTAAACAGTTTGTAATATTTGGGTTTTTTTCGTGCATGTACACTATATCCATTGAATTGCTCATAGATGATGCTTTAATAAAGTTTTCATATTCATTAGTATGGTCCCGCCTCTCCATAAGATGGTAAATTCTTCAAGAAATGCATTTGTGAGAGTAGGATTTATTTCACATGAGGAACAAGTTATTGGGAAATTGCGGGATAGATAAGCGAGCGTCAAGTCCACATTTCCCAGAATCCTTTGCGGGGCGGCTGACCTCTCTTAGTTTTTGCATCCGGGGTTGAGCTTCCTTTTCCTCTGTGCCTGGTGCGATGAGGACCTAGGTTTTTCGGGACCTCTGAGAAATCCGAATCCATCCTTGCAAAAGGCACCACCGAACTTCGCCAAAATGACCGAGCAGATGACAGTGAGGGGTACCCTGAAGGGCCACAATGGATGGGTCACCCAGATCGCCACTACGCCCCAGTATCCCGACATGATTCTGTCGGCGTCCCGAGGTGAGGCTTCCCCGCCGGCTCCGCCAACATGGCTACATTAGCATTGGTCGGCTAGTTGGTTCTCTACTGTAACGGAGAAAGATTACCGTGCGGTGTGAGGATGTATAAAAGACACAATATCTGTCTCAAAGTCATGTCACAGCCTTTTAATATTGGTTATTTAACAACTGCGTAATGTTCACGGATAAGACTCCGGTCTGCCAAGCTAACTAGCCCGCTAACTACTATCTGTCGTCATGAGTGTTTCATTCACAGGTGCCCACACTGCAGCTGTGACACGTGTAATATCATGGGAAAAAAAAGTGCAACCAATATGGTCGCCGCATGTGTGAATGTGTGCACTTGTTAACTATCCCCTACTTACTCACCAAAGTTGACTATGTGACAGCTTCCGTTACAGGCCCCAGCACACTGATGGTAACACATGCTTTGTGAGTCCAACAAACTGACAAGATTAAAAAACCCCACTTGTGTTGTGTTTTCAGACAAGACCATCATCATGTGGAAGCTGACCCGTGATGAAACCAACTATGGCATCCCCCAGCGCTCTTTGCAGGGCCACTCTCACTTTGTCAGTGATGTTGTCATCTCCTCAGATGGACAGTTTGCTCTGTCAGGCTCATGGGACAAGTCCCTCCGTCTGTGGGACCTCACCACGTAAGTGTGGGCATAGAAGTGAATTCAGAGTGTGGGAAGCCCGTGTGTTAATCTTACGTGTGAAACATGAGTTTAAGTGAACAGGGATACTGCTGTAGAACTTCAAGAGCCTGTTGATAGTTGTGGGAAAGCAAAGAGTTACAAAAAGAAAAGACAAAAGTAGCCGTGTTGCCCATCCTTGAAATGAGTCAAGAGTCAAACTGCACCCATTCTGAGTATAGCCCTTTACTAAACTTTAAACTTCATTGACAAATGTTTTCTATCACATTTAAAGGTTCCTTTACACAATAGAAATGCAGAAAGTTAACCTTTTAAATAAATAAAAAAACATCACCTTGTATGCAACTTTAGATTATTTAAGCCACGAAAAGTCACAAACTGGCCTTTTTGTGCAGGGGTTAAAAATGAAATTTAAAAGACACATTAAATCAGTTTGGAGCTCTGCTTGGTTTGGTGGAGCCAAGTATATAAGTGATAAGTATTTGATGAGTGGTGTCAGTTTGCAAAGTTAAAAAGGTCACTGACTCGAGGTGTTAGTCTTTTTAGAATATTTGTAGAGACCAGACATGTTTAATTTAAGTATAAAACTGTTCTCAAGGAGATCAAACTAAGATTTGATTTGAGAAGTCTCTCTTTTGTCTTTGCCGAAAGTGTCTGCACAGTTTAATAGAGAGAAAAAGTGAGCACAAGGTGATATTATCTGTGGCTTTGTTAGTGATTTGTGTAATAGTGTTTACAACAATACTTGTCAAATTAAATGTTGACAAAAGTCTTAATTTGTCTCGTATCACAAGCCAAAATTCTCTTAGCTTTACTACCAACCTGTTGAACGCACTTTGGAAGCTCTCTGCTCCAAAACACATCAAACGTGGCCGTTGTTACTGATGGTCTTTTCTGCCAATCTGTGATGTGTCAATACATTGTAGTAGAAATAAAGTTAAAGCAGGACATGATAGAGTGAGCTTAACCCCCAGTGATAGATAAAGCAGCCAAATCACAATGTCTTAAATTGTTTGATGTTGCTGGAAAATCACAGAATCATAGTTTTGTATTTTTTGCTCATTCTTGTCAACCCTTAATAGAAATTTGAGACTATAGTGTCAACAACTTGTCAGGTAGTGACCATTTAGTGTCATCAGAATCAGCTATATTCACACACTACTCAGTACTTACACACTCAGGGATTTTGTCTTTCATAACTGAGCTCTCAATGAAAACAAGTATGACATTAATATATCAGCAAATGACAAATGTATACAAGCTAAATAATATAATGGTGCAGTGTGAGTAGTTAAAAAATGCTGAGATGAACATAATAAATATGCAACTATGTAACAGATGATTAATTTACATGATGGAGAGTTTTAGTCATTAACTGACTTAATGGTGTTAGAATGGACCTCAAGATTTTACTTAATCTTCCTTTACTGCCTCCA